CGCTGGGGGGCGCTTCGCCGTCTCCCCTCCGCAGCGCGGAGTCCCGGGAGTGGAAGCGCCCGGACTCGCTGACTCAGGGTGAGTCTGCAGGTCGTGGGGCGGGAGAGCGCGGGTGACTCACAGTCCCGGGTGACTCAGGCCTGCGGGGTCCGGGGCGGGGACAATGGGTGGGGGCGGTGGCCAGACCTGTGGAGCTAGGATGAGTCGGCAAAACCCACAGTGCTCGGCCGCCCCCTGTGGGTGTTAGCCCTGGAGGTCACAGTAACGCAGACAACCGTGAAAGCCCGAATCTGGCGCCGTGTCAGACACTGTTGTAAACACTTTGCATCTATATCAACTTACTTAATCCTCAGAACAATCCTGCAAGGCAGGTATGATTATTACCCCCTTTTTACAGATGAAATAACTGAGGCTCTGATTTGCCTAAGGTCATGGGGCTAGGAAGTGGCTGAAGCAGGGTTCACATCCAGAGGGGCTGGCTCCAGGGTGCGCTCTCTACCCTACCGCTGGCTCCCTCGGTTCAGCCAAGGTAACTGTCACAAGGAGCCTTCTGGCATCGTGCTGACAGTGTGTGGGCACCGCTCCAAAGTTCCACCCTGTCTCATCGAATCCTGACAGCGTCACTAGCGGTTATTGAACGGCTCATGCAAACCTTCAGTAACCACTGCCTACCCTCCTGCCTCGTGAAGCTTATAGTCTAGTGGGGGCGACAGAGGCGACCAAGTAATCACACTGATTAATGGGAAAGTGTACATTGATGGTAAGTGCTGAGAGCAAATAGCATGTGGGCCCCGAGGAAGTGACCACCCAGCTGGGAGATGAAGGATGAAAAGGCATTAACTAGTGAAGGGTGGTGATGATGGCAGTGCAGATAGAGTATGTTACTGGTGGAGAGAACAGCTTATGCAAAGGCCCTGTGGCAGGAGGGAGCACATTTTCTGAAAAGAGGCAGCAGGAACTCAAACAGCAAAGGGCACTGGTTGAAGATTTAGCTGGAATGATGGAAAAGGCCAGACCAGGTAGGACTTCAAAAGGCACCTTCAGCAAATTCTACTTTTCCCACACACAGTGGAGAAGTGTTTTAAGCAGAGAAGAGTAATGGGAGTGATATGATCAGATCTGCATTTTTGAAAAGATCCCCGTGTCTGCTGTGGAGAGAGGAAGGAGGAAGGGCGGTGGGGGAGGCAAAATGGATCGAGGAAGACCAGTGAGAAGGAAGGTCCAGGTGTCTAGGTGAGAGATGATGGTAGGTATGGACTAGGCTGGAGGCTAAGAGGACAGAGAAGAAAAATCAATAGAACCTGGTGATGGATTGGACGGGAGGGGTGTGGGAGACAGAGCTGGGAGAGGTGACTTCTGGGTTTTGTGGCTGCAAGACTGGATGGCTGCTGGTGCCTTTCATGGAGGTGGGAAACCCTGAAGGAGAACCAAAGCATGGCTTTGGACTTGGGCTGGTCCATGGTGCTTCTGGGACATCCTTGTGGAGGTGGCCTGCAGGCAGATATGGATTTGCAGCTCAGAGAGAAGTTGGAATTGAAAATGCAAATTTATGAGTTATCTGCATGTGGGTGGAAATGGAATCCATGGGTGCAATGAGGTTGCTTCATGAGAGTATACAGTGAGAAGAGGAGAGAGTCTAGGAGAGAACCTTGAGGAACACAAACTAGAACGCAAGAAGGAACAGGAAGTGGGTTCCTTTCTTGGGCATAGGCTAGGTGGAGCCGCCAGACAGGTAAGAGGAGGGCCAGAGGATTGCATCATGGAGATCTTCCTTTCAGAGAATTGTGAAAAGCAAACTGGATTGATATGCAGGTAACAACAACCTGATTCAACTGACTTAATAAAGACGCTCATGTCACGTACCGTGAAGTTCAGAGGCAGCACACTGAGTGGGTTTCAGAGTGGCTCTTTCCGTGGACCCCTAATGTTATCAGGCAGATGCGCTTTTCCCATCTCTCTGCTCTGTCATCCAGGTGGGCTTCATGCTACCAACCATGGCTGGTTTCCTTCATGGTCATAAGATGAAATATTTCTTTGTTCATGTTCAGGGGGGAAAGAGACTTTGTTCACTTATTTTCTCTTTAAGAGAGGAGAAGCAGCAGGATTTCCCATAAGCTTCCATTGAAGCTCTCCTTAAGTTTCATTGGCCAGAACTGAGTCATATACCCATTTCTCAACCTATAGGGGATGGGATTACTCTTTGACCCTCAAGACAACCCATTAAGCTGATGTTCAGTCCCCAGATGGCATGGCTGCCAACCAAGGAGGGAAGGATGGGGTGGATGACAGACCTACAACTGGGTTGGATAAAGTCAGTGGGCACCCAGCAACCATTCCCGTCTCCCTGTAAGGGTGCCTTCGGTATTGTGTGTTGAAGAGTTAAAACTGCGTCTCTCAGCCCGGCCTGTGTGGCTAAGTCGTTGAGCGTTGACCAATGAACCAAGAGGTCATCGGTTTGATTCCCAGTCAGGGCACGTGCCTGGGTTGTGGCCTTGATCCCTAGTAGGAGTGCAGGGGGCAGCTGATCGATGATTCTCTCATTGATGCTTCTCTCTCTCCTCCTCCCTTCTCCTCTCTCTAAAAAAAAAATCAATAAAAACATATTTTAACCCCCTCCCCCCCAAACTACATTTCTCAGACTTCCTTGCAGCAAGGATACTGACAGTGAGTTAGGTTCTGCCAGTTAGATGGGCTTCTGTGGGATTTGGATGGCAGAAGTGGGCAGTGGCCATTTTCTTATTGCCTCGTCTGTCACTGCTGGCAACGCGCTGGTGGAGGTGCTAAGTTTTCCTGTAACTATTCCAGTGTGGAGCCACAGGGCGGTAGGGGACGGGAGACAGTTACAGGCAGTGGCAAGGACCTCTTCATCCCTGGGTCACAGCTACTGGGCGGTGTTCCTGAACTCGGCAGTGCAGCCTCCTAACCGCCCCCGGGTGGTTGTGGAAGAGGCTGCAGCTTCCTTGCTGGGCCAGTTCTGGGATGTTCTGGGGTCCAGCTGAGGGCCTTCAGCTCTTCCAGCAATTTTGTCAGCAGCCAATTCCCTGCGTTAAATACTTTCCACTTCAAAGGGATTTAACACAGGAATTGGATGTTTATAAAATGCTGATCTGGAGCCGGCTCTGCCCCCTGGGCCTGAAACAAACGTAATTGATGCAACAACCAATGAGGAGCAGTGTGTCGTAGCTACGGAGGACTGTGTTCGGCTGGCTAGGGAAGGCAACAGGTGCCTGGGCCCTTCAAAATCCCACTGGAGACTTTGAGGGGGGTTCCCACAGTGCTGTCATTGCTTGAGACACCGAGCACACAGCTCAGGACGCAGCTGGCTGTGTGTGAAGGGGAAGGTGGACAGAATGAGGGTCTAAAAGCTGAGTGCGCTGCCTACAAAAGGAGGGAACCCGAAAGGCAGCCCCAAGGGAAATGGAGTTCCAGCCTTCAGCCCCCACCCCTGCCTGGCACCCAGCCGTTAAAGCACACAGGCCGCACCTCTCAGTGAGTCTGTGTTGAGGGTTGGCATGGTGGTGGTGGTCCCCAGTGAAGTTTTCAGTAAGGCAAGTACAGATTTGTGTTTTGAAAGATCACCAAGACAGAACAGAAGATGGATTGGTTGTTCAGTGTTTTCCTGAACACTTTTTTTAAAAAAAATATATGTCTATTGATCTTTATTGATTTCAGAGAGAGGAAGGGAGAGGGAGAGAGAAACATCAATGACAAGAGAGTCATTAATCCGCTGCCTCCTGCATGCCCTAACTGGGGATGGAGCCCCCAACTGGGGCATGTGCCCTGACCAGGAATCGAACCCGGATAGCCTGAGTCCTACGTCGATGCTCAACCACTGAGCCACGCCCGGCTGGGCCTGAACACTTTTAATGACAGGTAGCTCATGAGCCCTAGGGGCAGTTCACTGTTTTTGGACAACTTTCAGCCAAAGTCAACTTTTTTGCATATGTCCCCTTGCTGCTTGGTGATCAGTACTGGCCAGAAACCTGGCCAGAGCAGGAAAGCATGTGGTGAGGAAGGATATAGGGGTTGTAAACTGACCGTCAGGGGATAAGTCTGGCTCATAGTTTGTCTTGGAGGTGTAATTTGAATTGCAATTCTTTAAGGGGAGACGCATTATTTCCCGACAGTCACAGGCTCCACCATCCCCCACTGTATTAAGGCAACCTGCTTTATTCACTTACGTTATTAATCTGGTTCTTGAACCCTTTGAGTTTTCGGCCCCAGTATTTGAGGAATATTTAGGACCGAGGATGCCTGGGACCTTGTGGATGTCAAGGGACCCCTAGCGGCAGCTACAGGCTGGTCAGGCTACGGGGAGGGAAATGGCACGGAAAAGATCCGGCTTCGTCTCAGAAGCCCTACCCAACGCCCCCCTCCCCCCTCCAAACAAGGTCTAGAGGCGCTGGAGAGTGGCCAAAGTCCCTTTAATATCCCTGAATTGCGTTACAAGTAATACTGCTGGAGGTGAGGAAGGGATGGGGGGTCTGGGGCAGGAGACGGGTAGGAGGAGGGAGGGGGAGCGCCAAGCGCTCATACAAAATATGGCCAAAAGGCTTAGCATGCATGGAAAATTATTGCTGTCGGAAGTTCCTATTTACAGGGTCAGCACCCTCCGTAATTGCTTCTGCGACCCCTCTCCCTCCCCCCATCCCTATCGCCTCCCTCCCCGGGTGGGCCTGGAGCTGAGAGGCCCTAGAGAAATGCCCCCGCTCCAGGGTCGCCGCCAGTCTGCACCCTCTGGTGGCTAGGGGGAGGGGCGGGCGGCCGGAGACTCCGGGACTCGCGTCCCCGAGGTGGGCGCCTAGCGGTGCGGCAGAGGCGTGTGCTTAAAGCGGAGGGGCCGGCCTGGCGCGCGGAGGGGTGTGCTTCGGTCCTCGCCCGGGCAAGCCAAAGCGGCGGGGGAGGTAGTGGCGGCTGCGGGGCGGCTGGGCCCCGGCCCCTCTGCCCGGGAGAGTTGCATAGACGTGGCCCGGAGGGAGCGCTCCTCCTGGGGAGCGAAGCGGGCCGAGGCCCCAGCGGGGTCCGGGGCTCAGTCGGTCCCTGGAACCTGGGGTCCCTCGAGAAGAGGAGTGAATAGGAACAAATGAGGAGGTTCCCCTCTCCAGTCTCCCTGGAGTGGGAGTGGAAGGCTCAGGAGGGTGGGGACCTGCCCCACGACTGACCGCCTGACCCCGCCCCCCGCCCCCCAGTTGAGGGTCAGCTGGCGATCCTATTTTCGGGCCCCCTTCTCCAGCTAGTTCAGGCTCGGATGAGGGTGGGGCTGCTCCCTCGCTCCCCAAGAGGGGTGGGGTGTGTGTGGGGGGGGGGACAGCCCTCTATGGCCTTTGCTGTCCCTGCCTGGCTCCCTGACCTCCCAGTCCAGCTGGGGAAGCCAGACCGTCCCTGGGTGAGGACAAGAGATTAAATAGAATAATAAATAAATAAATAAATACACAAATAAATAACTGGAGAGGCCCAGCTGGGCAGGGGAAGGGCATTTGTGAAGTGCCTCAGACCTCCCCCCAACAAATGAGGAGGGGTACCTGCCGTCCTAGGGGTGGGGAAAGTGCTCAGAGAACCTGGGGAGAGGGCAGCTTGTGTGGAAGCTCAGAGAAGGTCTGTCCTGGGGTGAGAGAGGGGCTACTTTAAGGGGTGGGGCCTGAACTGCCCCTCAAGTCTGCCCCAGGTCAGGAGAACTCAGAGGGGTGAGAGATGCTAGAGGCATGAGGGGTCTGGAGAGAGTAGGAGGTGGGCGTGCGTGAGATGGGCCGAGAGCAGGGTGGGTGGTGGTGAGTGGCTGACCTAAGGCCAGGGCACGGAGGGGATCAGGGCAGAGACACATACAAGGAGACAGCAAAGAGGCCAGAGAGATGGTCTGGGGTTTGAATGGGGTCTGGGGGCTGCAGGGCCTGCACCTGAGTGTGGATGGAGAAAACAATGGCAGGTGGCAGGTAAGAGCCAAGGGTAGGTTTGGGCCTTAGATTGGGGCGTCCGGTAGAGGAATGGTCACAGGGACTCTGCTGAGAGGAAAGATCTGAGCGTTAGAAGAGGAAAGGTGCAGGGTCTGGGTGAGAAAATTCCGGCCCTGGGGCTAGGGAGAGGCGCGGACCTGGTGCCTGAGTTGGGAGCCTTGAGGGCTTGGACAGGGGGGTAAAGGTCCGAGTCTTGGGAGCCGGAAAGGACTATGTGGGTAGGATGCGCTGGGGCAGACCGCGCCGGGAGTCAGCGACGGGTCTGGGGCTGCAGAGAAAAGTTCCGGGCCGGGAGGGGCGCGCTCCCTGCGAGTCGCGGGCAGGGAAGCGCAGCTGGGGGTCGGAGAGGGCGCAGGTGGGGGGACGGGGGCGCGTGGAGAGCGAGTTC